TCCCATGACCCAGTTCTACCTTACAAATCTGGCTAGACCAGAGTACACCCATTGAGACAGACAAGAGCTCTTGACACATGGAATTCGGGACAGATAAAGCCCTCAGGAATAATATTAGTAATTATATCATGAGGGTAGGGAGATGGTAGGGGTGAGGGGAGGAAGGGGGAGAAAGGGGAAACTTATCACAGTTGGATATATAGCCCATCTCCCAGGGGGACAAATAATAGAAATGTGGGTGAAGGGAGACAACAGACAATATAAGACATGAAATAACAACAATAATATAAAATTGATCAAGGATTCATGAGGACCAGAGGGTGGGGAAGGAAAAAAGAGGAGCTGATACCAAAGGCTCAAGTATAAATAAAATGTTGTGGAAATGTTGATAGCAACACATGTACAAGTGTGTTTAATGCAATCTAATGATGTAATGATGGATTGTCCCAAGAGTTGTAAAAACCCCCAATCAAATGATATTTTTTGAAAAAAGAGTCAGCAATACCACACAGATTGGGAGGAAAATATTTAGTAATAATATATCAGATAAAGACCTAATCTCCAAAACCCACAGAAAACCACATCTTAGCAAGAAAATATAAATCACCCTATTTTTAAAATTGGCACAAGATGTGAATAGACAATTTATGAAAGATGACATTCAGGCAGCCAAGAACCATATGAAGAAATGTTCACAATCATTACCAATAGGTGAATTACAAATTAAGACACAGGTCATTTTGGCAAAATTCAATAAAACCAGAAATAATAAATGCTGGAGAAGATGCAGAGAGATGGAAATACTTTTGCATGCCTGGTGGGACTGTAGAATCCTACAACCACTATGGAAATCGGTATAGCACTTCTTTGTTTTTGTTGAAATGAAAATCCAAGTACCTTATGATCCAGCAATCTCTCTACTTGGAAATACCCTAAGGAAATAAAGAATACAACACAAACAGGAATATTCACACCTATATTTATCACAGCAACTTCCGTAATAGCAAAATAAGTAAATAGGCCAACCCCCTATTAGAGAGGAATGGATAAACAAACTCTGGTACATCCATACAATGCGATATTATGAATCAATAAAAAGCAATGACAACTCTCATAAACCCCTAAAGACAGGGACAAAGCTAGAGAACATTGTGATTAGCAAACTTAGTCAACCTATGAAGACAAATATTTATAACACCATTATTATAAAAATATGGTTTATACACCGAAAGATAAGACTTTGATGACTACGAGGAGGCTGGGCATGGCACTAGGAATGGACAGGATATTGAGGAAGGAGGGAAGAAGAATGGAGTGAGGGAAGAAAGTAAGACAACCATATCCATGGAGGGTTTAACAGGATATTGTTATTGATTTCATTTCTTGAGATGGGCTGTGTAAATAGATACAATATGTTTCTTTGAAAACCAAAATAAGCAAACAAAAATCCCTCTAGATTCCTTCCCCCTCAAACCTAAATAGTAAACTGAGTGGCTAAAAAAGTAAAAGTAAAACTGATATCAACTTGGAGTCTTTAGTGACAACTTTATTTCAACGTTGCTTATAACAAACAAACAAAAGGTTCACAGCATTAAAAGATAATGGAATGTTTTCATGATCTTTTGGAAGCTCCTAGGTAAATCCACTTGGATAATAGAACGCCCTGGGAAAACCCCTTAGTCAGAATCAACGACTTCATGGGACTGGATTACTGAGTTTAAGATTTAAGGACCATAATCTTGGGGACATCTAGGTCAACTGGCAAAACATAGTCCATAAAGATGGTAATGTTCTACATCAGTGCTTCCTGATGAGTGCTTAGAGCAATCCAGTGGGGGTGGGGTGGGGTAGGGGATGGGGAGAGTGAGGGGTGTTAAAAGCAGATGCCCACATTTTGCCCTGGATTATGGGTTGTAGCGCAAAAGTTTTTTCATTGTCAGGGGCGCACTGAGTGAATTGTTTGAAGGGAGTGGCAGAAAAAATATGTTTAAGAACCTTTGTTTTACATCCTACTTTGGTGAGCAGGTCTAAACACCCCTTGGGGTCTACAAAGCAGTCATCTTGCTTGTAAGATCCAACAAATGGCTTCTTCTTGTCTTCAGGATCAAGGAGGGTCAATGTGCATGGAGCTCAAGGTTCAAAGGACAAACTCGGCTCCTGGCTCTTCTCTATTGCTTCGAGCACACAGAGATCTTACACAAAAAGTTAGACCTTTTTTTTTTAAGTTTCTGGAAGAAAAACTAGGAGAAAATCTTACTGATTTTGATTCAGACAAGGAATCCTTCGAATGTATACCATAAGCATAAACCAGAAATGGAAGAATTGAAAATTAGATTAGATGTCATCAAAATACAAATTTCTGTTCTCTAAGACATTATCAAGGAGATAAAAGACAAGCCACAGGCTGGGAGGAACAATTACCTGACCAAGGTCTTGTACCCAAAATTTATAGAGAACCCTTAACACTCAGCAATAACCCCAACAGAACAAACACCACCATTAAAAAAAAAAAAAAGATAAAAGACTTGAACAGACACTTCAATGAAGAAATACAGATGCAAATAATCACACGAGAAGATGCGCAGCATTAGTCATCAGAGAAAGGTGCACTTCCGGAGACACCTCTATCTCTGTACTGTTCTAATAACAGTAGCAGACACTTCAGAGAGAACGCTAAGCCAGGTCCTTTCTGAGCACTTCACAAGCACGACCTCATTTAATCCTCACAGCAAGTCTATGATGTAGGGAGAGGAGTACTCAGCCTGAAGTGAGGATGACAGGGTGGACACCCACGCAGTTTGTCTCAGGTGCACAGTTTGTCTCAGCAAACCTCTTATGATATCCATTAAAGGTCATTAAAGGTATTCTGAATGATATGCAAATACTTTCAAAGTTGAATAAAACAACAACAAAACTTGACGTTGAGATTTAAGACTACTAAAACGCAAGAACAAATGCAGGTACACTAGAAGGGATAAAATGAAACAAAACCACTTCCGGTTCTGAATAGTTCTCTCTCTCTCTCTCTAAAGGATAAATCTTGAGTGGTTATTTATTCCTTTTCAGGCACACTAAATATTTTGGTTGGCCTTATCAGCAAATTTCTCTCCCTGTAGAAAAGCTACCTACTCCTCATCTGTCAGTGTCATAGCATGCTGTCTTCAGTACTCCCGGGGATCCTGGAAGCTCTGTCCCTGGTATTTAAAATACCAGCAGGCTCACTCATGGTGGACAGGTTTCAAGAGAGCTTCCAGACTCTGACAGAACAGGAAAAAGAAAGAAATGGTCCACTTCTGAAAAACTAGCAACCAAAAACCTGTGAGTAACAGTGGACCATGATCTGATACAGCAGACCATGATCTGATAGTGTGGGCAGATGAGTCTGTCTGTTTGGAAGGCACTCAAAATTATGACTGGGGAAGAGCTGACACAGTGGTTGCAACAATGAACTAAAAAAAAGAAAAAACCAACAGCAATAAACTCAAGCATAACCCTGATTATCCAGATGATACAGGACCAGACAGTTGTTTTGTTCTGGTGTACATGGTACCTATGAATCAGAAAGCTGTAAAGGAGATGAAATGACCAGACAGTAACTTCTAAGTCTAAGGGAATAAACATCTGTGGCGTTTGAGGGCAATCTGTTAACAATCTGTGTGATCTTGCTCAATTCTTTTGCCTACTAGATTCATTGAACAACTATTGAGTGCCTCTATTCTAAGCGCTAGGAGTCTGGGTGGTGAATGAGTTACACATTGAGCTGCTAATCCAAAGGTCAGCAGTTTGAATCCTGAATCCACCAGTTGTTCTGAGGAAGAAGAGACTGTCTGGTCCGATAAGTATTTACAGCTTCAGAAACCCTAGGTAGCGGTTCCCTGTCCTAAAGGATCAATATGGCAGTGGGTTTGGTTTGGGGTATTGAGCTAAGGAGTCTTGTTGGCAGTGTGGGATAGACACAGGACTGCTAACCACAAGGTCAGTAGTTCAAACCCATTAGCCACTCTGAGGGAAAAAGATGAGGCTGTATGCTTATCAGTAAAATATGTATTGTCTTGGAAACCCTACACAGGGTCACTCACTGTAAGTCAGAATCAACTAGATGGCAGTGGATTTGGTTTGGGATTCTAGGAGCTGGGTTTCGCAGTGAACAGAACAAAGCATCAGACTTGGTATTCTGGCTTGTTTTTAAAATGTGGCCATTTACAGATATCAATGTCTGTCTGATCACTGCATGAACTGCATTTGTAAATTTTAGCATCTTATTGTTTCCCTTTCATTCCTCTCAAAGTTTGTCCTAACTTGGCAGTGCAGTTTTTTCTTTAAACCTATCGGTTACCTCCAGAGACCTGGAATTGACTCCGCGGTAGTGAGTTCGGTTTGTTTTGGCCGTTCCAGTGAGTTACTTATGAACCTGGTGGCACGGTAGCTTAAGCACTGGATTGCTAACTACAAGGGTGGTAGTATGAAACCACGGACGACTCTCCTCTTTTAAAAGAATTAGTCGTGGAAACCCACAGAGACAGTTCTACTCTGTCTCAGGGGGTTGCTTTGAGTCGTAATCGACTCAATCGCAGTGAGGGAGGGAAGGGGTGACTTACTGGGCTGCTAACTGCAAAGCCAGCAGGCTGGAAACCACCAGTCGGGGAACTAGGAAGGCTGCCTGCTCTACTCTGTCCTTAATCGACTTCCTGGCAGCGAAGACTGGCTCTTTCGGGGTATGTTGCTTAATTTCCACATCATGTGCAAACGCTCCAGTTTTCCTTCAGCCACTGATCTCCCGTGTGATTCCACGTTGACCAGAAAAGGCACGTTGTATTATGGACTTCAGCAGCTTGCCCGCTAGAGGTCCGGGCATCGCACCGACTTCAGGAAGTTGTAATGAGAATTAAAGAAAATGCTTGGGGCACTTCAGGGAGCGACTAGCTGACAAAATAAACGGCAGCTATAATACAAGAGCACATTCCACTGGAAAAACTGGAGCGAACACTGTGTCCCTTGCCCTGTGGCTTCCCGGCTGCCAAGTGGGCGCCG